AATTACAAATAAGTATATATTAATCAAAACATTATAAACTTTCTCAAAGGCAAGAGAGCATACTTTTAATTGAATAAAGGAGCTTCTTTTTAATTGAATAAAGGAGGTCTCTATCACAAATGGTTTTTTTTTTTTAATTATTTATTTAATTAAAAAAGAGCTGAACCAGAAAACTGCAGTCCTATCGAGGTCTCCCACACTGGGAGCAGTATCTCAAGGACTTGAGCCATCACTGCTGCCTTGCAAAACATGCATTAGCAGGAAGCTGGAATCTGGAACAGAGCTGAGACTTGAACCTAGGCACATCCCAATATGGGATGCCAGTATCCCAAGCTGTATTTTAAAGGTAAAACGTTCCATTTTTAATTTTTTTAGAAAGCATTTATGTATTTATTTGAGAGGCAGAGTTACAGAAAGAGAGAGGGAGAGACGGAGAGAGAGAGGTCTCCAGTATACTGATTCACTCCCCAAATGGCCACATTGACCAGGGCTGGGTCAGGCTGAAGCCAGGAGTCAGGAGCTTCATCCGGGTCTCCCATGTGGGTGTCAGGGGCCCAAGCACTTGGGCTATCTTCTGCTTTCCTAAGCCATTAGCAGGGAGCCAGATCGGAATTGGGATGCTGGTACTGCAGGAGGCAGCTTTACCCACTATGACACAACACCACTCCGCCCCCTTTCTCTTCCTCTCTTTCTTACTCTACATTTCAAATAAATGAATAAATACTTTTTAAAAAATTTATTTTGAGAGTTAGAGTTACAGAGAAAGAGAGAGACAGAGAGAAAGGCCTTCCATCCACTGATTCACTTCCCAGATGGCCTCAATGGCCAGAGCTGGGCCGATCCAAAGCCAGGAGCCAGGAGCTTCCTCTAGGTCTCCCACATGGGTACAAGGGCCCAAGGACTTGGACTCTCTGTTACTGCTTTCCCAGGCCATAGCAGAGAGCTGGATAGGAAGAGGAACAGCCAAGACACAAGCTGGCACCCATATGGGATGCCAGCACTGCAGGTGGAGGCTTAACCTACTACACTACAGCTGGCCCCTAAATTTATTCTATTTTATTTTATTTTTATTTTATTCTACTTTATTTTTTATAATTTTTAAAGATTTATTTATTTACATAAAAGGTAGAGTTACAGAGAGGCAGAGAGAGAGAGAGAGAGAGAGAGTCTTCCATCAGCTGGTTCACTCTCGAAATGGCCGCAACAGCCAGAGATGGGCCGATCTGAAACCAGGAACCAGGAGCTTCTTCCAGGTCTCCCATGTGGGTGCAGGGGCCCAAGGACTTGGACCATCTTCTACTGCTTTCCCAGGCCATAGCAGAGAGCTGGGTCAGAAGTAGAGATTTCAGATTTTCAGAATAGGGATGTTCAACTTGTATTTCTTTTCATTCATTAAGCTACCAACCTAGATTTATTTATTCATTATTTGAAAGAGTTACAGAGAGGCAGAGGCAGAGAGAGAGACAGAGGTCTTCCATCCACTGGTTCATTCCCCAAATGGCTGCAACGGCTGGAGCTGAGCCAATCAGAAACCAGGAACCAGGAGCTTCTTTTGGGTCTCCCATACAGGTTCAGGGGCTCAAGAACTTGGGCCTTCCTCTGCTGCTTTCCTAGGTGGGTTTGCAGGGAGCTAGATTGAAAGTGGAACAGTCAGAACTTGAACCAACATTCTTATGGGATGCTTGTGCTGCAGGCCAGAGTTTTAATCTGCTGCACCATAGCTCCAGCCCCTAAATATTTTACTTTTAAAATTATTTTTATTGTCATTCAGCTCTAAATATTTCTTTATTTACTTATTTGAAAGGCAGAGTTATAGAGAGGCAGAGGCAGAGAGAGATCTTCCATCTGCTGGCTCACACCCCAAGTAGTCAGAAGTGTCTTCCTGGCCTCGCACATGCGCACAGGGGCCCAGGGACTTGGCCATCTTCAGCTGCTTTCCCTGGTGCATTAGCAGGTACCTGGATGGGAAGTGGAACAGCTGGGATCCAAACCAGCACCCATATGGGATGCCAGCACTGGTGGCTTTACCCTCTATGCCACAGTGCCAGGTCCAGGGCTAAACATTTCAAATTCATAGGATGTTTAATATCTTTGTTATATTTTTCTTTATGAATAATTTTTAACTTTTTAAAGAAAATAATCAATTCCTAATTGAATTGTATTGTGGTCAGAGACCATATCTGTATATTTTCTCTTTGAAATGTGTTGCTGTTTCATTGGTGATAGCGTATGTGGACATATTTTGTAAATTTGTGCTTAAAGAGATGTTTCACATCTGTTGGATAAAGAGTTCTATATAGATCTGTTAGATCAAGTTTGGTTAAAAAAACTATGTGATATTTATACCTTAGGCCTAGTTTGAATATGTCAGGTAGTTTGATGAATGGGCTACCAGGAATTTGTGCTGTATTATTTATCTTGTGTTTGAATTTGTATCACTGAAGAAGACATGAGAAGTAATTGATAAGTGTGAAGCAGACCTAGTGTAGAAACTTGATTTCCATGATAGGTCACAGTAGACATTGTGTAGCTACAGTGGGAAAGCAAAAATTATAGTTGTGGGTCAGGTCTTACTTAGATTATAAATTTATTATTTCTTTTTAAAAATTATTTAATTTGAAAGACAGGGAGACAGTGAGATTTCCTGTTCGCTAGTTCACTCCCTAAACACCCACACCAGCCAGAGATGGGCCTGGCTGAACCTGTGAGTGGGGAACTCAGTCCAGGTCTCCCATGTGGTTGACAGGGATCCAACTAGTTGAGCCATCACGGCTGCCTCCCAGGTGCACATTAACAACTAGCAGGAGTTGGGAGCGGAGCCTGGACTGGAATCTAGGCACTCTGGGATTTGAGCATCCCAAGTAGTGCCTTAATTGCTACTGCAAACACCTCACCCTTTGTATTTTCTTCATCATTGAAAAATTATAAACTAAGTGTTGTATTGTTGTTTTTCTTCTATAGAATGTTACTTGTAGATTTATTGTGTAGCATATAAGGCAGATATTTGAAGCACCTTTTCTCTGAGCCCCCATCACTTATGAACTTTTCAAAGTTAAGTTTTCTCATTCCTTCTAAATGTCTTATTAAAGCTTTAGTTTTCACATAATTGTAGTCTCAGAGAAAAGCTGCAAAAGTAAGTTCAATGCATCCACAATCAGTTGAACTGTGGATATGGAACCTGCAGATACTTAAGACCAGCTGTATGGGGGTCCTTCAGAAAATTGGTGGAAAAATGGGATTAAAGGGTAAGTTGATGGTGGTGGACAATCTTTTTAAAACCCATGGATAGTTTTTTCATAATATACAGTTGTCATGAATTTGTGAAGTCCCTTACGTGCAGGGATTGCAGTTTTTTGTGTTAAAATAAACATCTTTTAATTCCATTTTCCATGAATGTGTTGAAGTGTCCCCACACATTCTGTTATGTATCTTTTGTCAGCAAATTCCTACCATCCCACCCTTCTACTCCTAAGTATTTTAATGTGTTTTGAAGAACAAGGACACTCACTTACAGAAAAATCCCCTAGTTCGTTGATCAAAATCAAGAAATATAGTATTGAAATAATACTATATCTAATTTGATGACCTTATTTATTTATTTATTTATTTGAAGCAAAGTTACAGAGAGGTCTTCTGTCTGCTGGTACACTTCCCAGATGTCTGCCGGGGCTGGGCTGGGCTGAAGCCAGGAACCAGGAATTTCAACTAGGTCTCCGTGTGGGTGCAGGGGCCCAAGTGCTTGGGTCATTTTCTGCTGCTTTCCTAGGCACATTAGCAGGGAGCTGACTTGGAAGTGAAGCATCCAGGACTTGGACCAGTACTCCTATAGGATGCTGGCATTGCAGGCAGTGGCCTAATCTGCTGTGCCACATCACCAGCCCCAAGTCTGGGGACTTTATTATCGCCAGTTACCCCGATACTGGTCTTTACAGCAATTATTTTTTTCTGGTTCAGTGTCTAGTCTGGATCAGATGCTGAATTTAGCTTTCATGTGTTTCTAGTTTTTTAAAATCTGGAATGTTTCTCCAACTACTGCCTTTTATAACACTGCTGTTTGTGGAGAGTTCAGGCCATCATTTTGTAGAATGTCCCTAAATTTGGTGTCTCCAGTATTTTCTCATAATTAGATTTAGATTTTGCGTTGTGGGAAGAAATACCTCAGAAATGATGTTGTACCCATCATGGTGCACTTAGATGTGCAGTGTTGGGTGCTCCATTATTGGTGGTCATTTGGTAACTTTGATCACTTAGCTGAAGTGGTATGTGCCAGGTTCATCAAGTTTGTCACTGGAAAGTTTGAATTAATAGATATGTTGTAGGGAGATATTTCATGCAACACATTTTCACTGTCTGATCTTACCACCTATTAATGAGTCTTGCCTTATCAGTTATTATGATACATGCAAGTTTTAGAAACTGTATTTGTTAGTTGGCATGCGATTGCAAAAAAGAGTTTGCCCTCCCCCCCCACATCCCCAGAAATCCCATATAATTATCATAGTTGTTGGGTTTACTGTCTTTGACAGTCATTGTATTCTGTGACGCCTGCATGTCCTGAATGATCCAGTCAGAGGCCCTGTGCTGTTTCCCGCATGCTCTTGACTTGGCTCCGGCAGTTTCTGAGCCCTTCCTTACTTTAGGCACAATGAAATGTTCTGGGTTCATCTTGTATGTTTCCTATCCTGCCCTGGAGTCGGCCATTGCTCCATGAAGCCTCGGTGTTTCTTTTACTGCATGGTCTAAAGCAGCATAGTTTAATATTTCAGAGTCCAGGCTGCATAACCCACGAGCTGAATTGACTTGGTCAAATTGTTTAGCCTCTTCAAACTCCAGTTTTTATCTGCAGAATGGGGATTAAGTGGTGCAGCTCTCAATAGTGCTGTTGTGAGGATCAGTTTAGGCAGTTCACTTAGAGGACAATGCATGTCACACAGTAAATATGACATCAGTGTTGCTTCTTCTTTTGTTACATTACTATTCCCTCTTTTTCCTTTTAACAGGATGTTATTTTAAAGAATTATTGAAGATCGAGGTTTTTTATTGTTTGTTTTTTAATGGCTTTACAGAATCTTAAATAGAATACAGTTTGACATGATGACAAAAAATGTAAGTATTTGTAAATTTTTTAATGTAAAAAAAATTTAAAGTGCATTGTCCCTTTTCCTCTGCATATTTTCTCACTATTCTGATAAGTATTTATTGGCATGAATTTATCAGGTTTTTTTTTTTAATGCAGAATGTGAGGTAATAAACTTTGATGCTATTGAACTCAGTCCCCTAATGGGCATGGCGGCATTCTCATAAACAGGTGCCAAGTTGCTCCTGACCAACAGCTGTAATATTGCCATCTTCAGGTTTCTCACCCACCTCCTCTTTTGGGTACTGTAACACTTTCACTTTGGTGCTTGATGAAGTTACTTGGCCCTATTGAAAAAGATCACTATTATTTTTGGCTTATTTTTTCCTCAGGGAAATGTGTGTGTTTAGACAGCATCCAGAAGAAGCCTGCTATTTCCCATGCAATGTCACACAGTAGATGCTTTGAAGAAGCTGTTTCCTTTTTACCCTCTGCTTGAGGCTACCAACTGTAAATGACTTTCCTCCAAGTTATTGTTTTACCATCCTGTGTTAATGTTTTGGTTTCTTTCCAGTTATGGTGAAGGGATAATGCCATAAAGTAAATAGTGCAACTTCCAGGAAATTGTTTTAAAAATATTTATTTGTTTACTTGAAAGGCAGAGTTAGAGAGAAGCAGAAGCAGAGAGAGAGAGAGAGAGAGAGAGAGAGGTCTTCTATCTGCTGGTTCACTCCCCAGATAGCTACTACAGCCAGAGCTGAGCCAATCTGAAGCCAGGAACCTGGAGCTTCTTCCGGGTCTCCCACACGGGTACAGGGAGGGGCCCAAGCACATGGGCCATCCTCTGCTGCCTTCCCAGGCCACAGCAGAGAGCAGCCTGGACTCAAATTGGTGCTCATATGGGATGCCAGCACTGCAGGTGGAGGCTTTACCCACTGTGCTACAGCGCCGGCCCCAGGAATCTTTGGGAATTAAACAGAATTAGCTTATTAGGCAAGAATCTTTGGGAATTAAACAGAAAGGTAATTCATTGCAAAGGTTGAAAGATGCCTCAAGGAATTCAAGAATAGGAACATAGTGGGCCCTCTGGAATATCGAGGCCCAGGAGTTGAAGCAGAGTTTGGTTTCATCTCTTGTCTCTGCTTTTTGCTGTGTTTCTGCTTCATTTCTTCCTCTTTCCCCACCTCTGCAAATTATCTTCCTCAGAGGAGTTCCCCAGTCCGCATGGTAGAACACGGCTTCTCTCAGCATCTCCAGCAGCTCGTGGCCTGCTTGTGTTGGCCCTGACTTCAGACTGCTTGGGGAGGACTCTGGTACAGCGTGAGTCTGTTGTCCACCAGTGGTTTGGTTAGTTGTGAACAGGAGCTGGGGCCCCCGCGGGGTATGAGGCAAGAAGATAACAGCCTCTTAGGAGTCAGACAAAAAGTTCTAAATGTTGTCCATCATACACTTGAAGAGTTGCATAAACAAACCAACCCTTAGCCTATTACTGTATCTCTGCTCATTGATTTGGCTTACAGTTCAGAACTAGAACTTTTAACATGCTTCAGTAGCCATAAGCAGGTAGAGATTTTGCTTCCTTGTCATTTTTAGGACAGCCAGCAGGTTTCCTGAGAAGTTAGGATATGGGTGCAGGAGAGAAGTAAAAGGGGACCTCTCAGTATTTGGCTTGTGTAACTGGGTTCCTGACTGCGCTGCTATCTAAGGAGAAGACAAACTCTTGGGGAGGTGCAGAATTTTGTGGCAAATTCAGAAATTCTCTTTGGAATCTAATAAATTGAAGGATCCAGAAACATCCAACTGGAGATACTGGCTGGGGGGTTTGATCAGTGACTCTGGAGCTCAGGGAAATGCTTTGGGGCAGAGGGTGAAATTTTGGAGTGATTTTATATTAAAATTATTTTAAATCAGTGGGACCATATGAGACTACATAGTTAGTACATGAATGTAGAACACAGAAGGGCCAAGGTATGAGCTCAGGGCTTCTCCATTTAAACATGAGAAGAAGGAGAAGCGGCAAAGGAAATTGTGCAGGAGTGGCCAGAGAGGTCGGGGAACCCGGAGGCCATGGAAGGAAGGTTTCAGAGAGGGCGGGGTCAGCCGTGTCACGTGCTGCGAGAGGCGACTTGCAGGTATGAAAGAGGTTGTCGTCTGTTGGAGGCTCATTGGACAGATGTTGAAGTACTCAACACCTTTAATTTCTGCTTCTCACTTCATATTTCTTTTATGAGAACCACATTTTTGCAAAGAGCTACTTTTGCGTTCGTTGTCTCTGCCATTCTAGTCCCCTATGGTTTCAAATGATAGAAACCAAGACAAAAAATGGAATGTACTGTCTCACATGACTGCAAAGTCAAGGGTACTCTAACTGCAGATGTATCTGGATTCAGGGGATTCAGGTGGTAGTGTCAGGGCTTTGTCTCTCACTGCTCATCTTTGACTCTCTGTGCAGTGGCATAGTGGCCTGCCATGGCTTTACAATGCTTTATCTCAGAAGAAGAGAGAACTTGTCTCTTTTAGTATTTGTGTTTCAAATTCCATGGAGGGGCTGCGGTTGACACTGGTTGGCCCACCTGGGTAGACACTGTGGGGTAGGAAGTGGGGTGCTATAGATCGCCAGGCTGGAGTCATGAACACATTCTATGCTGTCGTGGCATAGTTGAGCCTTTAAGATGAGTAGTTGTATCAGAACTGCATGGCTGTGGAATGGATTGTTTAGCAAAAGGAGATGAAAAGCAATATATTCCATGCATCTGAGGCCAAACTGTTATTGAATAGTATCTAGTGATATTCTTCTAGACCAACAATACAGGTATATTCTAATGTAAGTTCCCTTAGTATACAATTAAAAATTTGAAATATAACTTGAGGAATAATTTTTTGCTTTGTCGATGAATTTTTTAAAAAATACATGTTGTGATACTCATTACAGAAAAATTAGAAAACATTGATAAGGAAAAGAAAAAAATAGCTAGCGTGGAAATTATCAGCAGCTAGTATATACACAAATGTAAACAATTACATAGACAACATATTTTTAATTTTAAAAAATGTTTTTTATTTTATTTATTTGAAAGACAGAATAAGAGAGAAAGAGAAAGCATGTGCGCATTGATTTACTCCCCCAGTGCCTTCAACAGTCAGGACAGTGCCAGGCTGAAGGCAGAAACCAGGAACTCCAACCAGATCTCTACATGGGTGGCAGAAACCCATACTTGGACCATCGTCCACTGCCTCCCAGGTGCATTAACAAGAAACTGGACTTGAACCAGCATCCAATATGGCATGCAGGTGTCCCAAGCAATGGCTTTACCTGCCATACCACAAATGCCTGCCCCTATATTTTTTTTTTAATAAAAAGGAAAGCAAACTGTTTTATAACCTACTGTTTAGCTGAATCTTCGTGACTACCTTTCCTTTTCTTTTCTTTTGTTTAAGATTTATTTATTTATTTTTAACTTTTATTTAATAAATATAAATTTCCAAAGTACAGCTTTTGGATTACAGTGGCTTACCCCCCCCCCCCCATAACTTCCCTCCCACCGCACCCTCCCCTCACTTCAACAGGTTTCCTTTTTGGTGCTTGGTCAGTTGTTTTCCAGATTTTTCTATTTTGTTGCAAATGACTGGATTTCATTTTTTTTTTTTTACTGCTGTAGAGTATTATATAGAGTACATATCCCATAATTTTTTTGTCCAGTCTACTGTTGATGGGCATTTAGGTTGATTCCAGGTCTTAGCTATTGTGAATTGAGCTGCAATAAACATTAAGGTGCAGACAGCTCTTTTATTTGTCAATTTAATTTCCTTTGGGTAAATTCCAAGGAGTGGGATGGCTGGGTTTTATGGTAGGGTTATATTCAGGTTTCTGAGGAATCTCCAAACTGACTTCCATAGTGGCTTTACCAGTTTGCATTCCCACCAACAGTGGGTTCGTGTCCCTTTTTCCCCACATCCTTGCCAGCATCTGTTGTTGGTAGATTTCTGTATGTGAGCCATTCTAACTGGGGTGAGGTGAAACCTCATTGTTTTGATTTGCATTTCCCTGATTGCTAGTGATCATGAACATTTTTTCATGTGTCTGTTGGCCATTTGGATTTCCTCTTTTGAAATATGTCTATTGAGGTCTTTGGCCTTGAGAGGCAGAGTTACATACAGAGGTCTTCCATCCACTGCTTCACTCCTCAAATGACCTCAATGGCTAGAGTTGGGCAAATCTGATGTCAGGCACTTGGGCCATCTTCCACTACTTTCCCAGCCCATCAGCAGGGAGCTAGATTGGAAGTGGAGCCCTGGGACTTGAACCGACACCCATATGGGATGCCAGCGCCACTACTGTGCCACAGCACCAGCCCTTGAGTACCTTCTCTTATCTTAATACTTCTGCTACATATTTTTTTTTATTTGACAGATAGAGTTAGAGAGAGAGAGAGAGAGAGAGAGAGAAAGGTCTTCCTTCCGTTGGTTCAACCCCAAATGGCCGCTACAGCTGGAACTATGCCAATGTGAAGCCAAGAGCCAGGTGCTTCTTCTTAGTCTCGCATATGGGTGCAGGGGCCCAGGGACCCAGGCCATCCTCCACTGCCTTCCTGGGCCACAGCAGAGAATTGTACTGGAAGAGGAGCAACTGGGATTAGAACCCGGCACCCATATGAGATGCTGGTGCCGCAGGCAGAGGATTAACCAAGTGAGCCACAGCGCTGGCCTGCTATATAATTTTTTAAAAGCTTTATTTATTTGAAAGGTGGAGTGGTAGAGAAGGGAAAAGAGAAAGAGATCTTTACATCCTCTGGTTCACTCCCCATAGGGCTGCAACAACCAGGGCAGGGCCAGGCTGAAGCCAGGAGCCTGGAACTCCATCTGGTTCTTCCATGCAAGTGCCAGGGCATCTCCTGCTGCTTTCTCAGGTACAGTAGTAGGAAGCTGGATCAGAAGCAGAGCAGTCACGAATCAAACTGGTACTCCAACATGGGATGCTGGCATTGCAAGCAGCAGCCCAACCTACTGTGCCACAACCCCAGGCCCTATT